TGGTTAGAGCCTTGACCTCAACCCCATCAAACACCTTTTTGGATGAACTGAACCACCAACTGCGAGCCAAGTTTTATCACCCAACATCAGTGCCTGACCTCACTAATACTCCTGCGGCTGACTGGGAGAAAATCCCTGCAAGTAGGTTCTGAAATCCTGTAGAAAGCCTTCCTCGAAGAGCGGAGGCTGTTATAGCAGCATATTAATGCCTGTGGCCCAGGAGTGAAATTTTTCCACAATCACATATGTATGTGTAATGTGTGTGCGTACACTTCGCATGTTTATACATTTTGGCCATATAGTGCGTTTTGTTTGTCATGCTGGCTTATTTCTGACACATTAGTCCAGTTTAATCCAGTGTGTGCGTGTGCGTGTGTGCTAAGCTCAAAGAATTTGCTCCTATAGCAAGGAAGTCTAACTGATTGTTCAGTCAGAGCTGCACATTACTGTTGGATTATTGAGTAGATCATTTGAAGGACGAGTGCACGAGAGACAAAATAAAAGTGTTTGTGTGTTTTGATGTCTATTAGCAGCTGCAAGCTAAGGCATGCTGTGGTTGCTATGGCAATAGTGTTGGGGGTGGTGGGGGGCTGACATTTGGTGCGGTGTGTGTGTGTGTGTGTCTATGTATGTGTGTTTCAGACCAGGCATGGCATGCTGTAAAAGTGTGTGACATATGCTCTGGTGTTATTTTGTGTGTGTGTGTGTGTGTGTGTGTGTGTGTGTGTGTGTGTGTGTGTGTGTTCACTCAACAAGGGGGTCTTTCACAGCCCTAGCCTGTGGTAAGTTAATTGATACGCCCCCCTCTCCCTCCACCATCCCAACCAGACCACCCCTCTCTCTTCTCTCCGGAGTTTCATCCCCGGGGTCAGTGCTTCCCTCTGCTACCCCGGTTGTCATGGTTACAGCCTTAAGCGTCACCCGGGACGACGCACAGTGGTGGGAGTAAGTCTTGGGCTTCAGTGACTTTTGGAGTTTTCCATGAATTATAACCAAGAGGCCCCAGGGGCTGAAGTTGGCTGGCAGCGGCTGAAATATGGCTGCGGTTTTGTTTGCTGTGATATATGCAGGCACCAGTGCTCGCCACGCTACGCTGCTCTGGTTGCACTTTATTTCTCAGCACAGAAATTACCGCGCTTGTTTATGTATCGAGAACGCAGGGCAGAGGTAATTACAGTATAATGGTGCATGGGGAGTTTTGTTGGTTGGTTGGAGATCAAGAGTTCATAACAACCAACCTTGAGGCCAGTTTTAATAAGGCAGAGGAGAATCGTGCTCCAGCCCTTGAGGAAACGGAAATGTGCAACAGATTCTCGTGTGTGGCTGGATAGGTCAAAACATTGCGTGAATGCAGTTGTCATGTTTTGGATTTGCTTGAAGATTAAAATTGTTTTTAGGGAAAGTAAATATTAACTGATATAGAATTTGGAAGAAGAACATCAATATAATATCATGTCCTGAAATGAGAGACTACATCACCTGGGATTTTGATATTTATATACTAAGCGATTGTGTTTTTCTGGTCTTAAAAGCTACATAGCAGTAGAGTAATTCGACTGTTCAACTGACTGTTCTGTGAAATGATAAATTTGTGTGTCAGCATATCCAGGATTAGGTATTGTAGTCACACACCAAATCATTATCACAGTTGTGAGTGCAGCTGAACAATGAATCCATTATCAAAATTGCTGCAGTTTATTTCTTCGTTGACTGACTAAATGGTTTATTGACTAACTAGTTCAGCTCTAGTGTCAAGTATTAAAAGTTGGCTCTGTATACTTGGTGAGATTCTTAGTCTTGTTTACTTTAATCAGATATTTTATTTTCTAATAGAAAGATAGAGCAAAGTAATTAGTGCCTTTGGGCTGGGCACATTAAACTGTATGACACGTAAAGAAATTAATTCATGAATTCATCAGGAAATCTAAACAAATTTGTTGACTGTTTTAATTAGGCAAAGTTTTTGTATGGATGCTTACAACATTAAACACTGACTGAACAGTGACAAGTTTTCATTTGTTAAATGAAGGATTTTGTGCAAACCCACATTTATTCTTTAAGGCCCTTAAAGTGTTGATACTAAAAGGTATTAAATAAGTTATATGCAAATACTTTAATAATTATTGAAAGCACGGAATGTTTAATCAGATTCGTGGTCTTGTTTAGTACTTTTCCCAATCAAATTAGACCTCAGAAAACCTTGTCAATTTTAAACTCTTATTTAGGCAAAGTTCTTGTTTTCTTGTTGAGAATATTAAACACTGATGTATTTTATGATGTTTGTAATATTCTATTGGATGAAAAATGAATATATTTCTCCAACATATAAAATGTGTTAGTATTAGTACTAAAACATGTATTTTATCTGTGTAGAAACATTTTTAAATGCTATCCCATCCTGGTATTGAGCTACAATGTGTTGTGATATTTGACTTTGCAACATTGTCCAGCTCTGACCATGAGCTACTCATTCATTCTAAAATGTAAAAAACAAACTCTTGCAATTGCCATCTAGATAACTACTAGGTAGCACTAGGTAAGTGATGGACAATAGGTTGACTATAAGTTACTAGCTGTCAATCTAGTGTCTATAATATAATATAATATAATAAAATACATATATATAACTTGTATTATATAAATATAACATTTTGGATTTGAATCCAGCCTTGTTCTGTCTCTACTGTCATCTCCCTGAATAAAACCGTTAATTTCTGTCATTTGTTTAACTAATTTATCAAGACTAGCTGTTTCTACTTAAAGATTTGATGTCTCATTTTGGTTTGAAACTCTTCATGTCCTCTGGCTGCCTCACTGGGCAGTCCTCCAGTTAGAGAAACGTGTGTGTGTAAACACCATGTAAGTGATGCAGTGTTAGTGCTGCATTCAGCACTCTGATCCATATCTTAAGAATGTGTCTGCCCACAGCTGTGTGTGTATATGTGTTTATGTGTGTGTGTGTATGTATAATGTATAAATTTTAGACCACCACTGACTGATCCGCCACGCCGATGCTGCTGCAGTGCCTTATATAAGCTCAGTGAAGTACACCATCAGCACTATTATCTGGTCTCATGCTGCCAAGCTTATGGCTGAATAATATTAAGAATGGATATTTTTTTTCTTCTTCTTCTTTGCCCCCTCTCTTGCTTATTAATGTACTCAGCAGCCCCTTAATGCCCTCTCTGTTTACCCTCTCTAAAAGTTTATCCTCTTGGCACTACCTCCCTCCTCTCCGCTTTTCATCCTTTACTCTTCCACCTAAACCTCTTTTCTTTACCATTTCTCCGCCTCCTCTTTAACTTTTCTGCAACTCTTCCTGTCTTTTTCAATTCCCAATCCCCGTCTCCTCTCATTTTCCTTTTTTATTGCCCTATTTATGTCCTCTATAACTTATCTTTCAGCTTCCTTTCCTTCCTCTACATGTTTTCTTGCATATGCTTCCCTACAGCCTCTTAATTTTTAGCCATGCTAGGGTCATGGCTCTGAGACACCACTTTGGTCCAGATACAGATATCTCAACATCTATTGGATGGATAGTTGTTTTGGTAGACAGATGGTCTCAAGAGAATATTTTTTCACTTACCCTGTGTGATATCTCAACATCAGAAAAAACATTCATGGTTCTCACACAATAAATGACAAAACTAGTCTGACTTATTGGCTCTGTGAAACATAGCAAAGCTAATATTACCCACCTGTCAAACAGAAACAGAGAACTCAGCATCCGTCCTCACAGCTCTTGGAGGTCTCTCCACCATAGTTGGATTGGCCATTGCAACTACCAGGACAAATCCCAGTTGGCTGCTGCAGCGATAGGCTGGTGTCAAGTGCGCTACCACATTGGTCAGCTGGTGTACCGTCAAAACATTCATAAAGTTTTAAAAGTTTTTACCCGTCCCGTCAGTCTCTATTGCTGCCATCTCTGTGTGTCTGTCATGTGGGGTGCAGGCCAGTCGCAGCAGATAAGTCCAGGTCTGAATTTCTTTCCCAGTCTGACCGTGTACTCTCCTGGAAAGCCTTACCAGTGTTAACGCAGCTCTTTGCTCTCGCCTGATCATGTTACTTCTTTTTCAGTTTTTGTTCTTCTGACCTTCTCCTCTTTGGCTGTTCCTCTGCCATCTGTCTGTCTTGACAATACGATTATGTTTTGGAGTACATTGCGCTCACATTTATTTCTGGTCTCTCGTCTGCATTCTCCTAATCAATCCCATTCACACCACTTCACACAGTCTGGCAGCGTGGGAAGGGTAGAATGCTCCTTCTCCTTCCCCTGGTAATCCCTAATTGGCACTATTTAATAGCATGTGCCAGATTTACCGTCTTTTGCTCCCACTGCCCCCTTTTGACCGTTTCCCCTCTTCTCTTTCTTTCCTTTTTCCCGTGCCCAAGCACAAACTCTGATTGGCAAAGGTGAACTGATTTTCTGAAATAGTGCTATGTGGCTCAGTGCAAGCCACTTTGTTTATTTCCCATTTACAAAGCCAGGGCTGTGTAGGAATTTTTTTCAGCACACGTACAGAAGGGAGGGCTACAAGACCAAGATCTGTCTCTTCCTTAATAACATCTCTGCTTCACAGTTAGCCTGCGGCCAGAGAGGCTAACTTTTTAGACTTAAAATGAGTCAGTCTTTATTTTTGTGTACCTGTCTAACTTGCATTAGACTAATCTAACATCAAAATTAGGACACTGAACACTACAGACCGGCTGAAAATATATTGTGAAACCAGCTCCAGGTTGAATTAGTCTCATTTCTCTCATCTCATGCTAAACTAAACTGGTTAAAATGTTAAAAAAATATAACATGGTAAACAGCATATTAGGTTGTCATTGTGAACATGGTACCATGCGGAGTTCAAACCACCATTGTACCAAAGTACAGCCTCACAGAACTGCTAGCATGGCTTTAGACTGTGATTCTTGTTTCTTTGTTGCTTCATGCATTTTAATTGTTAATTTGTTTAACTTTTTTCCTTCTCTCTTCTGTGTCTTGACTACAGGACTGGGTTTTCCTCACTCGCTTCTGCTTTCTCACCGACTTTGGACGTCTGGACTTCCGGTTCCGCTATCCAAAGGTAGGATGACTACATTTTGTGTTTTTGTCTGTATTATGCACTTGTTATCCATTTTTGTTATTTCCATAAGATTTTCCAACTTGGTGCAGCTCTGACAAGTGTTTTGCATTTCTTTTTTCATCATCCGTTCTTTCTTTACTCGACTGTGCTCCTCTCAACAAGTTGTCTTACTTTCTTCCTTTCTTTCATTCCTTCAACTCACCTCATCTAAACCTCTCTTCTCTTCTTCCCCTGGCTGCTCCTGCCGTACCATCTTTTCCTCTTTTCCTATCCTCTCCTCTTCCCTTTGCTCTTCTCCACTCTATCTTTCTTCCTGTCTGTTTTGTTCTTTTTACCGATGCCTTGCTTTACAGTCTTAGCCTGCAGACTTTGGAAACAGTTTTTGTCGTTTAAATCTCACAAACGTCTCACTGCCTCCTCTCTGATCTATGCACATCCCACCCCAGCTTTTCTCCTAATCTTTTCCTTTCTCACTCTCTCTTCTTCATGCAGTCTCGCTGCTGTCAGAACATATTGCTCTACTTTGATGACAGTTCTCAGTGGCCAGCTGTGTACAAGAGGCCTGAAAAGGTGAGATACTGACACTCTCTGCATCATGTCTTTTGACAAGCCATTATTAAATAGAAATACAGTTCCATTTGCTAATTTGCATGTCACTGTCGTAATGAAAAGGCCCTGCCACTTCAATTTTGATCATTTTCACATTTTAACATGAACTAAAGGTTCACTCGTGGCTCGTGCTGTTCAGAATACAAACTGTCTCTCTCAGTTCCTGAAAAGTTGACATTTTGGAAAAAGTGGCTTTCCACTCACAAGAATGATGTATTATTGATGATACATGCAGTGATCAAGAGTGGCACAATCCATATTTGTGAGCACAAAGTGAGAAACTAGAGCCTGAACTGGTGCTGCACTGCAGAAAATAACAGGAAGAGGAAGATTTTCTGCAATTAAAGTTCTGTTTTCTGGGTCTGAAACCTGTGATACCACCTTTTCAGTAAAGTTCATAAGTATTTGGACAGCGGTACATACGTTTTTGTTGTTTAGTCCCAGTACTTGAACACATTAGATCTTAAAACAGGGATTAAAAGCATAAAATTCTTTCTGTCAGCCTTGATTTCAGGATATTTTCATCCAGATTGGGTGAACATCTTGGTAATTAAAACCCTGTTTTTGTCCTTCTGCACTGTTAAAAATTAGGGGAGTAGATGTACAAAAAAGGGCTATGATTACTCCACTGTTCTCCCAATATGATTGTGAACACCCTCAAATATCCATAAAGCTGAAAGTCAGCACTCCAGCCTCATAGTCATTGTTAAATTCCATCTGCTGGAGTACAAAGCTAAAACAATAGAAAATACTTCTCTTACCACACATTTGACTGCACTGTATGCATTTAGAGTAATTCCTACATTTGGTTGGTTCACTGACTCATTCTTCTATCCACAGTCTATGCAGTGTATATTTAACATTTGGTTGAGTCTGTAATTTTAAGTATTTGGTCAGAGATCTTTGGGTTTTAGAGAGAGTGGATTCATGTTATATCAGCCCATCCCTTAGCTATAGGAGGAACATGCATGAATTCTTAATCTGTGTTGTATTTGCATACACTCACTGAGCCCTTTTATTAGGGAGACCTGTATGCCTGCTTATTCATGCAATATACAATTAGCCAGTCATGTGGCAGCAGTGCAATGCATGAAGTCATGCAGATACAAGTCAGGAGCTTCAGTTAATGTTCACATCAAACATCAGAATGGGGAAAAATGTGATCTGAGTGACTTTGACTGTGGCATGATTGTTGATGCCAGATAGGCAGGATTGAGTATTTCTGAAACTGCTGATCTTCTGGGATTTTCACACACAACAGTCTCTAGAGTTTTTCCTCTGAATGGTGGGAAAAACGGAAAACATCCAGTGAGTGGCAGTTCTGCAGACAGAAGCACTTTGTTGATGAGAGGGGTTCGAGGAAAAAGGCCAGACTGGTTCAAGCTAACAGAAAGGCTACAGTAACTCAGATAACCACTTTGACAACTGTTAGGAGCAAAGAAGCATCTCAGAATGAACAACATGTTGAACTTTGAGGTGGATGGGAAGACCATGTTGGGTGTCACTCCTGTCAGCCAAGAACAGAAATCTGAGGCCGCAGTGAGCACAGGCTCACCAAAACTGGACAAATGAAGACTGGAAAAAACGTAGCCGGGTCTGATGAATCTGGATTTCCGCTGAGGCACGCAGGTGCCGGCTGTGGCTCAGGAGGTAGAGCGGGTTGTCTACTAATGAGAGAGGTTGGTGGTTCAGCTCTTCCAGTCCACATGTCAACATGTAGCGTAAGTTGGTTTGAGTGGTTGATAAGACAAAGAAAGCAGTATGTAAGAGCAGTCCATTCACCATTTACCATGGTAGGGTCAGAATTTGGTGTCAAGAGCATAAATCCATGGACTCAACCTGCCTTGTGTTAAGAGTCCAGGCTGGTGGTGGTGGTGTAATGGTGTGGGGAATCTTTTCTTGCCGCACTTTGACCCTCTTAAAACCAGTAAATGGTTTGAACACCTCAGCCTATCTGAGCATTGTTGCCAACCATGTGCCATGTGTCTTCATGGCCACAATCTACCATATTCTATTGGCTACTTCCAGCATGATACTGCACCATGTCACAAAGTGAAAGTCATCTCAAACTGGTTTCATGACCATGACAATGAGTACAGTAAACTTTAGTGGGCCTCCCCAGTCACCAGATCTGAATCCAGCAGAACACCTTGGGGATGTGGTAGACCAGGAGATTGGCAGCATGAATGTGCTGCTGACAAATCTGTATAAATGATGTGACACAGTCAACATTGAGCAGAATCTCAAAGGAAAGGTTCCAACATCTTGTTGAATCCATGCCACAAAGAACTAAGGCTGTGAGCAGTTGGAGGTCCTACCCAGTGTGTTGTTTTCTAATAAAGTGCTCGATGTAACATGACTCAGTTGATAAAATCAACATTAAATTGCTTTCACGACCGATGAATAATGTATAATGCAACTGCTTAATAGAGAGACGTAAGTACCATCCACCCACCCACGTTTAATCAGTCCAGTGTTGGTTTATCAACATATAACATCTGATATTGTTTCTTGTGTAGTTAAAATCAAGCCCTTTCTGAATACAAAATGGTTAGAACAGTTATTGGGGTTATGAAATGTTTTGTGGCATAATGTACCATATAGGAAAGTCCATGCTAAAATGGTCTGAGACATTGAAGAGTAACATTCAGCGAATACCTGGCATTTCTTGGACCATGCCGTCACTTTGGGGGTGTATTCTTCTTTTTGCTGACATCTTTTTGACACACAGATGTCACATCACATTGAGGTGTTTCCAGTACGGCTTCAAACAGCACACCATTTCTCAGCTCTTAGACAGATTCTGGTGTCAGTTTCCCCAGAATTAAATAGTATGTTCTTCATTTTAGACTCACCATTTTGCACTAATAATTACCAGTCACACAGGGAGAAATCCATCACTGAAGAGACAAAAAAAAAACAATTTTGATTCCAGCAGCTTCAATAGATCAGAAGGCAATGCAGACACAATTTCAATGACATTCTGATTACACGCACCTTGCGTTTGTTCTTGCACATATTCTGATTTTGAGTTCACTGTGTCTTCCTCCGTCAGAACTGCTACCAGAAGGAGGCAGTGCTGAGGCCCGAGAACAACCAGGTCATCAACCTCACCACACGCTACACCTGGTCAGGCTGTGTGGTAAGAACACACACACACACACACACACACACATACGTATGCATCCCTCTCTTTAGTGTAAGAAAGCATCCATCGGGCCAAAGTGCCCCCTTATTAACTATGTCTGTTACAGGGAATTATAATATTCTTTTTTATGTTTCTCTCCTTCGTCATAATGTTTTGTTATGCAAAAATGGCACAGAAATATGTAACAGGAGAAGAAATAGCTAATGGCCTGTAATGTGTTTTTGTAACATTTTACTGATACACACATTTCCAGAGTTTTTGATGCATCTCAGCCAACCAGAAATGTTTTAAAAGATCTGTCTCTTCTGCAACACCTTTTTTTTTGTTTGTTTTTTTTTTTTTTCAAATATCCCATTTATCTATTTTTCAATAAGTAACACAATGTGTTTGTTTATCACATTAGGAGGTGTGATTGCCAGCATGACTCTGTTGTTGTGGCGGTTAGTGGATCTTGTTGCCACATTTCAGGCTATATTTGGGTGTGAAATATGTTCATATCTTGATGTATCAGGCTCCCACTTGTGATAATTCAGTGTGTCTCTGAGGTAAAACGCGTTGCCTTTTTGGATAACAACATCCTCTATGCACCCCCCCCACCCCACCCCCCACCCCCACCCCCCTCCTGTGTTTCCTCTCTCTCAGGCTCCGGAGGGAGACGGGAACGAGGAGGTTCTGAGCTGCGTGGGCGGCCGCAGTTTCCGCTCGGTGAGGGAGAGATGGTGGTACATCGCTCTCAGCAAGTGTGGGGTAAGCACTGACCTCTGACCCGACTGGCTCTGCCTCTCTACTAGGGCAGGTGTACAACCAGGCCGTTACCATGGTTACCACACCTGCGTAGTCACCGTGTTTGTGTTCTGCTTTGTTCCAAATAAACAAACATCATCACCACCATCACCATCACCATTATCATCATCATCTGATTTTAAATCATAGTTCTTTTTCAAGTTTTTACAGTCAAGCAACTGATTTCAGGTGCAAGCAGCAGCATCAGATATTAAAATGGGAAAACTCAGGCGAAAATATACCAAGCACACCCTGAAGAAGGCTCTGTGGAACGCTGGATGTTTTAAGGCTACTTTTTTTGCTGGCTCCCTATAAATTTTAAATCAACTTGAGCATAATTTTTGTCCCAGTATGTGCTTTCACATTTGAGCATTTTGCACCAGGCTACATTTTACATTCACGAAGTAAAGAAATCTAAATAGGCAAAATGAAAAACTGCAAGTGAATTTAACCCTGTAATTTACAATAGATAGATAGCTAGATAGATAGATACATCAATGATTTTCAAATGCTGTTGTATGTTGCAGACCATCAGATCCCAAATGTAATATAGCTTGTAATGCTAATTTATGTCCAAATGCTACTCACACCCTCGCGCCCTAAACTCATTACATGTTACAGCTGATCTTGTATCGGTACATCTGTCTCTGAATTGCCTCCGGACACTGTGAAGCGCTTTATCTCTCCCATACCACAGTGTTTCTGCAACAAAGCACAGAGACGCTTAATTTGCAACTCTCTTCTTAAACTGTGCTAAACATGCCTTACAAGGGCTGCACTGTAGCCTATTGATTCGCTAGCTTCAGGGACTTTTAAGCATTGTCTTGTTTTATAATGGGACTCAGTGTTGTGCTAATGGTGTGCCGGGAGAAAACAAGCCAAGTAGCAGCTGCGATGTGTATTTTGTTCATGTGAGTCTGGACTGGGGCACATGAGCTCGTATAATGATAGCTCTGCTCAGTGATGATACATCCACCTACACCGAAGGCTTCAGTCAAGGACAAATACCAGGAATTGGTGTGCGTGTTGTTGTTGTTGTTGTTGTTGTTGTTGTTGTTCTTGGTTTTCTATGTGTGCGATGTTCTTATATTTTTGAAAGTAGGTGAAGAAAAGGGTGAATACATAAGAATATCTGCTGGATGTGTATCACTGTAAGCCTGCCTGCCTACTCTGGCTGACACCAGTGTCATGCTCCTGGTCATGATTCAGTGTTTGAGCAATCATGCCTTTACGTTTGTTTTGGGGGGAGGTTTGTTTTTGTGCTGTCGCCTGAGTGCTGGCTGAAGAGGGATATGATTAGAAGGGATGCTTCCTGCGGAGTGTGGTCTAGTGTCACGCCAGCGTCCGCTGATGGACACGCTGCCTAATGCTGTTGGACTCAAGTATAAAAGCTCGTCCCTGCTCCCAGGGACATATGCATGCATCGCCCCGCGGCCAATTTCCACCTCCCATCCCTTGTCGCTCGCCTTCTTGCTTCCCTTTCGCTTGCACACCTCTCCGTCTTTCCTACCTCTGTCGCTCACAATCTTTGGCTACGTCCTGCTTTGTTTCAACTCTCTGTCACCAAGCTGTGACGAGCTCCACGCCATTTCATATTTACTTCTCTGTCTCCTGCTTCTCTCTGTCAGCCTGTCTCTAATTGTGTTTTTCCTCTCCATCTTGCCATCTCACTGGTCTCATTTTCTTTGCCTTCTGCTCATTCCGTGCATTTTTCCCAACACCCTCACTTTTATCTGCCACGACATATTTTCCTCTTTGTTCCTGTTTCTCTCTCTTCCAGCTCTCCTTTCATGTACTTTGCATCTCAGTCTTTACCTGTGCTGACGTGCGTCTAAATCTATATCAACTCATAAGCCCTTAAAACCAGAGGATGCTTACTCTCAATCCCCAGATGTACTCGCCTGCATGAAATGGTAAAATATGAGGCTGATCGTTATTTAACATTACCTAGCAATTTCACTTGATTAATTATTGCAGGAAATCTGGAGGCATCAAATAATCATTATTTCATCAGGGGAAACAGTCATTATAAATAAAATTCAGGTCATCGCAAATTACAGAGCAGACAACCTCTGGCAGTCAGGATGAAGGTTTTTCAGACAAATAAATTGTCAGGAACCAAAGATCACTAAAATTAGCAGGTTTGAATGTTTTTTCTTCTCCTGCATATGAAACATAGTTATCCATGGATAAATAGTATTTCACTTTAAAAAAAAAAACATTTTGTTATACATTTACCATACTGTGCAGCCAAGCTCTAATTACATCCGTGTGTCAGTATAGAGCCAAGAAGTTTTAAACAGACAAAAATAGCACACATATCTCTGGTGTTGCCTTTCACAAAACTCTTTTGATGAGTTGAGGTAACAGAAGTCTAGAACTAATTAGACGCCATTAATTGAAAATAAACAGAAAACAGAACAACTCAATAACATGGTTTCATTGCATCGACCCCAGCAACTGTTGTCTGAGTTTTGGTCTACAAGGCGTTTATCCTTGTGGTCTTTAAAACAGAAGTGGAGAAATGGAGAAGCTTTGAATGGCTGTAATCAACTACTGCTTTATTATGCAGAGCAGAACTGCTGTTAATGAAACAAAATTACCCCAGTAGGGAACCACGGAAGAGCTGAAATTATACCGGCTGTTAATGAGTGCAAGCCACTAAAATGGCCAAAATTTCTCAGCTTTCAACTTGGCCAGGTGATTCATCTTTTATAGAAGAACCGCAGCAGAAACGCAGCCACGTCTACTGTACTTGGTTCAGGTCTGTCACAAAAAATGTAATCTGTATCTCTCATAAAGACTGGCAACACAGTCACGTACAGGAGGATCCTTATCGTATCCTGCTGTGTCAGATAGGGAGCCAGTTTGCACTCGCACTTCTTTAATGTAATAAATAAGAAATAATAACATATTTGACAATGTTTGGAGCCTTTTGGGAGATTCACCCTTTTATAGGAAATAAACAGACCTGAGGATTTGAAGATTGTGTTGCTCACAGTGGGAACCCAAAGTGCAAAATTATGCTAGCATATTTGTACACTATATTTGTTAGTACTGCTAACATTTATTTTCATTATCAGCTACAGTAATCATTTATCTGCTGATTAGTTTGTTTTTTTTTGGTTAATTAAACTTTTTTTTTAATGTAAATAGGGAAATTAACCTCTGTTTTCCTCAGAGCAGAATGTGATGCAATGAAAATGCTTGTTTTGTCCAAGCAACACTTCACAACACAAATGGCTGCAATCGAGAAGCTGGGATAAAGAAGTATTTGGCACTTTTGCTTGAAAAATATCAATTATCAAAATATTTGCTGATTGTTTTTCTATTGATCAACTAATCATTTCAGTTGATAATTGGTTCAGCACTATTTTACTGGCCAGATGTATGAGGACATGGATGTACTCATGCTTTAGGGCTGTTTTTCATGCTCTTGTCCCCTTATCATATTGATTACAGCAAATAATTACATTTTAGGCGAGTGACTGTTGGTTGTAGCAACAGTATGGGGTTTCATGTTTCAATGTGAGAATTCCCTGATTCAAGTGTGGTCCTTTTTTTTAGAAATGGTTTTCTGAGTGGTTGAAGCATTTGACTGGCCTGCACAGAGCCCTGACCTCAGCCCTGTTGAAGAATTTTGGAATGAACTGGAGCAGTGCCCATCCTCACTAAAACTTTAAATCCCTGTTCTGAAATCCTGTGGTTCGACTCCCAGAAGAGTAGAGGCTGTTATAGCAGCATATTAAAGAGACACTTCACCTATTTTACACGACAAGGTCAATTTACTCGTTGTAGTTAGTGTTACACAGCCTGTGAAAACAGTTGTATAATGTCTTCTGTGGCTGTGAAGTGCCTACAAGTTAGGATGTCTTGGCCTCTGCTGCTTCAATTTTGACCAGTCTGTTAAAAAAAAATTCTGTCTTGTCTATCAGCTTTATGGAAGTGCAATACTAAATTACCCCACCAATGCCCATGGTTTTGGAATGGCATGTTAAACAATCATATATGGGCATAATGTTCAGGTGTACCTAGCTGACTGTGTACACTATATTTTCAGAGGAACACTCAACTATAAGCCGTAACCAAACACTTATATTCCAGAGATGAGATCCACGCTCTCGAAAGATTCTCAGAAGTCCTTTTAAATGGAGTTATCAGCAGCTCTGGGGAGCACATGATGTACGAGACTGCACAGACATTTTCGTGAGAAAACCTTCAGTGTGTGATGTATCAGTACAGCGTATCAGGGGGGGATGCTTTTTACACATGAAACTCGCATGTAACCGCCCAAAAAATATCCAGTGACACTCTGTCTGTCCCGCAGATGGAGAAGCGCCGCTGTGAAGTGCAACTTCTTTCCTGCATCCATCTATGTCTCTCTCTCTCTCTCTCTCTCTCTCTCTCTCTCTCTCTCTCTCTGTCTTTACAGTCACTCTTTTCTCTTCATTCTGGCCTCTCCTCTACCTGCTTTTTTAACTTTCTCCCTCTCTACATCTATCACTCTCTTTATCTCCGTCTCCCAGCTCTTTGTGTCTGTATTGATTTTTGTGGCAGTGAACGCTCCATGCTTTTCGCCCTTTTTGATAGAGGGAGTGAGATGGAGTCTCAGGCTGCCGAATGAAATCAAAGTCCTTTTTTTTTTCCTCCCTCTCCCTTTTCCCTCACTCCAGCGAAACAAGCGCGAACTCCATCAGCTTTGAACTTGTGTGTGTGAAATGAGCTCTCTGTGCTCTGATTGTCAACCCATCTCTGTCCCCTTTCTCTTGTTCTCTATTCCCCATCCCTCTTTTCTCTCACCTTCCAAATTCTCCTCAGTTTGACACTTTTGTGTGACAGGCAAAAATTTACACCATTCCCACGGTGGTTTACCACACAGGTATGTTAATTTTCTCCATAGTGTTCCTCTGTTCCTGTATGTTTACATACCCAAATATTCTCTCTGTGCTCTCTTTCATAACATTTCAACGCACCACGCTTATTTCAGCAAGCAATACATAATTATGATAAGTCTAACAAATAATTGATAAGTGTGTCACAGTAACTATTAATAATTAACAATGAGAATACTCTTCATTAAATCAGAGAAAACAGTTGCTTTGGATATGATCATCCATCCATCCATCTTGTTAATCTAGGTCATCTTCACATTGGCAGCACAGTACGCAGAGCAGCCTAGATTCTCAACCAACTTCCTCCACATACCTGGGGGATCCTGAGGCACTTCCAGGCCGGTTTGGAGACCGAGTGACGATATGGCACAATTACACTGAGCAGCTAAACCACCAGAGTGTCTGTCCCCAAGGAGGATTTGGTTGTTTCCTCCTCCTTTTAACAGGAAAGGTTAAAAGAAATCTGGACGATGTTATTTAAACTTAAAGCTGTGCTCGGCTGGGTTGTTTTGTCTTTTTGGTTATTACACCCCCATCTCGTCAAACTAAATCACAACATTGTGCTGCCACATAGAAGTCAGATGCTGTAAATTCAGCCCGTTCCTCTCACATGACAATCTGGTGTGAATAATCGACATCAATGGCAAATTTCTGCTGCAGAAAGTGATGAATCACTGAGCTTAGAAAAGCAAAACTGTCTCATGATCTGCAGCAAGTGAGCGACGAGCAAGATGTTTTTCATCATGATCGTGCGGAGGTGCCACATGGTTTCAGGGTGTTGTCATTTACATAGGGCAATATATCAGACATCCTCAGGGGTTTTAATTTTCCTAATTTAGTGGTACTGTAGAGTAATGTAACTTATATTTTAGTTTTTTCCAGTCTTAAAGGCAGAATTATTTATTGTATGAGGGATGAGCAATAAAGGCTTCTACTTGCTTAGTCATCATATCAACATTATTAATAGGGAAGGGCGCCACACCTCAATACTTTTGTGATGCCAAACAAGTAGCAGTGAGTATCAGTATCTGCCAAAAAGTACCAAAAGCTGGCCTCACGTCTTCTCACATTTTGTATTCTACCTGTTATTTTAGATGGATCGAGATTTAAATTGCAATTTTTGCAACGTCTTGAATGGCTGTTTAGTTTTTGAGAACTTTGGTTTCTTGTTGAATAACAAAAAAGGGTTTTGTTGTTATATGTTCACAGGTAAAGTTTGATTTTGTTATTGCTTCTAGGCTAATTCTGACAGCTTAATGCAAAGATAGGGAATGACATGATGAAACCAAAAAATGTAAAATATACAGTACATTTTTCCCCTTGGTTTGTTTTTCAAGAAGAACTTTAGCACATAGACTTGCGGAGCTACTATGTATGCTGTAGCAGCAAAAAAAATATATTTTCAGTTGGACTTGAATGATTTCCCATTTTTTCTCATGTGTAAATATTCCGTGAATGTTCCAGTATTCATATTCAAAATATCAACACACTATAAATATTTATTTCGGTTATAACAATTCTGAAACCGAGACCAAACTGCGATACAAACTCCCCCGATACCGTGTCGCATAGAAAAAGGAACCACGATACACCCTCGGGCTAGCAACCCTGAGGTTACAGAGCCCCAGTCACATTCAAGTCAGCAGTGTGGGAACGTGTTGGTTATCTCCTACCCCCAAAAAACCATCCAAAAAAAAAAAAGAGGAATGAAATAAACCATGGATTTGGAGAAATGCTACTACCCCTAATATGTACGCATCGATACTGTTTTGATAATGTGATTGTGTCAATATTGCCCTGCTCTGATTGAATTCCTTCAGTTTCAAAATACTCAGGCCATCTGGGTGATCCAGCACTCTGAGGTTCATACAGTTAAACTGTAAGTGCTGGTCAAGCTCTCATCCTTTTCCTCTACAAAAAGGTCCTGTAGGTCTTATTGTCAGCTTTATAATGAAAAAGATGGATATCATAGAGAAAAGTCTTAAAGCCTTGTTACTGCTCTTTGCTCTTTAGGGTCATCAACCTGCAGAAGTTTCCACTGCAGTTTTAAGCATTAATGTATATTTTGTACAGATCACAAAGCCTGTAACGATGTAAGAGAATGAATGTTTAATCTCACCTGCCCTCTCTCTCTCTCTCTCTCTCACTCTCTTTCTCTCTGTCTTGTTTTTCCTCTCCCCCTCCCTCCCTCTCTCTCGCAGGGCGATGGCTTGCAGCTGGAGTACGAGATGAAACTGACCAATGGCCAGTCTTTCTGGACGCAGCATTTCTCTGCAGATGAGTTCGGTAAGAGTGATTAGACAGAAAGAGAGAGATTATGGAATGAATCGCTGATGGCACAAGCCAACACCACTTAGCACGGCCAATAAAGCACACTGAACTGAACAAATTACAATAATGAAGGGACGGCTGGATGAATTAATGATGATAGATGAACTGAAAGGAAGGGATGAAAAGAAGAAGAGACCCAAGTAGCTTCTAAATGAATTATTCCTACATCTCCAATGCTCTCTCTCTCTCCTACTCTACATGTAGGGTAACTCTCTCTCTCTCTTAACTAATCCAGTATCCCCATCACGTACCTGCCTCTCTGTATTTTTCATTCTTTCCTTTTTCCTTTTTTTTCGTACCTTAATTGTCCCCTCTCTTCTTCACCTTGATATTTTCTGAACCTCATTGACTCCTTTACTTTCAGATTTAGATTCCTCCTTCACTTTTGTACTTTTTTTTGCTCCTTTTCTTGTCTTCCTCAGATTTTTCTGTTGCATTAATTATTCTTTTTTCCTTCATCTTCTTCCTCCAGGAATCCTGGAGACAGACATCACGTTCCTGGTCATATTCTCCATGGTGTTCCTCCTCTCCTGCTACTTCGCCTGTAAGTACTGTCTTTTCCACTTACTGTATCACTTTATCTCCATCTTCCTCGAGCCAGTTTATTCTGACTTTCAAAGCCCACAGCAGTCATTAAGAGGCTCTTCTCTTCAGACCTGTTATAAAATCTACATGTTTTCTTGATGGAATAGGAGTAAGTTCTCGTGTTTCCTCAGATAAGTAAAGGTGGAGCATGTGCCTATTTTCTCTTGGGGCCGGGACTTTGTCAGAGCAGAGCACGAGCTACACAGATGCAGGAGTGAGAGGATGGCGAGCATTGGGTTCAGTTTTCGTGTGAAAGGTGAACGGTTGAGTGGAGAAGGCAGCAGTGGCCTTAACGTTAGGGATGCGAGTTTGTCGCGTGAAAGTCACTGTGAAATAACCTTCAGCCGCTGAGAACAACAGCTCCAAAGAATGACTCGCTTCTTCGTGTGAGGTTTTCAGTTCATTGTTAAATTACAAAAAAAAATAACTTTTTCTTCTCAGATTGTTTCTTTTGAGGGATGTTTAGATGCCTGAAGATGAAAGGTGTCTAGTATTTCATGAAGAAAAACAGCAAAAATTAAAAGACAATCTTAGGTGTAAGAAATATTTTGTTCTTTTCCATCCGTTTCAACCCTTTGGGACAACACTGGGCGGGGGTCCAGAACTTCAGGCTGGAAATCACTGCTCGAGCGCTCCAGTACCTCGACATGTAAATAGTTTTAGTTTTATAGGCCCAGATTTTGAGATCTGTTTCTGCAATAGACTGGGAGTGAATAAAAGTTTTTTTTGTTTGTGTTGCCCACAGCACTGAGAAACTGTTGAAAAATTTGGCAGCAGCAGCAACATCCACACAGGATTATTGTACAGGGACTATTTTTTTCAAAAACCAAAGACTGTGGAATATCAACAGTAATGTAGCTGCTGTTTCCGGAAAGAGATATTGCTATTAAATGTATTGTAATGTAGTTTTTTTGAGCATCACAAACAAAAAATAACTTCACCTTCATTGTTTTGGTGTTGAGGCTCATATCTCAAAATCTGGGCGACTAAAACCAAAACTATGCGCATGACTAACAATCTCAAGAAAGCCTCTGTTCAGTAGCTGCTCTGTTTTGCTGGAATCACACCATCTTCCACAGCAGATGGACTTGGCCAGTTGTTGTGGAATTGCAAATTATCAAGTTTGTCTCTTCCAGATCAGCTATTAAATGGACCATGTGGTGAACTTGTTTTCTCAGCAGCCTTTAAATGAATTAACTCCAGCACAGTCATCCAAGTGTTTTGTAGTTAAATGCCTCCAAAACTTACTCCACCTATCTAGGCGTGTTCTGTAGTGCACCGGTCGGATTCCCATGTGCTGTTATTTAAATGGATGGGTATTGGGGAAATGTATCCTTTGCTCTGCTTGCCTTAGTGCAGAGGACTAAAGCTATGTAATAAGGTGCAAATACATCTTTTGAGTCTGGGATTCTGCTGAAATCTTATGGTGATTTTATGCAAGTTGGGAGAAGGCTTTGAATGAACTGCTGTATCTTATTCACCATGTGTATGTTGCTCCTGCCAGCTTCGTTGGAGTGCACACTGACACTGACAAATTTGAATTTTATTGGGTCTGAGTTTTATACATTTACATGAGTCAAATCAAACAAGGGACATAAAAAATAACACAGGAACCTGTTGTACGAGTAGAGGAAAGGGGACTTTTTTATCTACCTCTACCTAAATGATATAAAACAATATGTCAAAAATATCTGCAGATAATGAAAGAAAGGGAAGGTTTAAAAGGTTATGATACGAAACATTGAAGTTGGAAGAAAGCGAGAGAATTTTTATTTTTCGGGAGGAATGTTCCTTTAGCAGCCACGGTTAGAGTACCTCAGAGGAAGCCACAGGAGGATCTAGCAGCACTTGACCGGCCAAGCCTGTGGTTGTACAGGGCAGCCGTGAGTGTGTAAGGATGTTTATGATCTTTCCTGCACCTCTAAATTTTCCCCCAGGCCACTGCTGTTTGTAGGAGTGTTTTCGCAGTAAAATTGCCTGCTTAAATACACATTAACAATATTTCCTCTCAGATTAGGGACAGAGAGTGGAGGACGTATAAGGCCTCATCTAGAGATGGGCATCACAAGATGGATGCATACTAATGGTCGCTCCCCTCATTTGTCGGGCCCATTCCCTTGTTCTTTCATTTTCTTCTCTTACTCTCAGTACCTCTCTCGCTCTCCTTCACCATCTGTTAGCATATCTCCATCCTTTTTATCTATCCCCACCAACACACACACACACACAGAGACACACACACACACACACAGACACATACACACACACACACAAACACACTTTCATCACCTCTATCTCATTCTTGTTTTTTTTTTTTTCCTCTGCAGACAATCTGAAGGGAAGACAGCTTCTTCACACAACCTACAAAATGTTTATGACGGCGGCAGGTGTGGAGGGTGAGAGCTTCTGTCCTGAGCAGACACACACACACACACACACGCACACACACATATACACACACACACACACACACAGACACAGCATATGTCACACACATTATGCCACACACACACTCAAGACGACAATGAGCCTCTCGCATGGCTGCAGCATCTCATACCTTAATCCCCTCTTCAAGAGCCGAGATATTATCACCCTTATTAGCCTATGAATAGGAACTATTGCAAACAGCCGTGCTGTGCCACAGTGTTCAGTGGAGCATGCTGTTACTGACGAACACCCCCTCACTCTTTTCATCCCACCCCCCACCCCCCCTTATCTCGCTTTCTTCCTCCTCGCTTGCTTGTCCCTTCCACAAATCCCTTCTCGATTCTCCTGCCATCCCTAAATTCCCTTTCTCCCTCTCATCCCACTTCACTCAAGCCTTCTGCTCCTTTTTCATCTCTTTTTATCAATTCCTCTTCTGTCTCACTCTTCTTCTCCCCGTTTGTCTCCACCCCCCTCCTTTCACTTTCCACGTTATCATCTCTCTGTCTCTTCTGTTTATCTTTTCTTTTACCTCCTCTCTCTCTTTTTCATCTCCTTCTCTCCATCTTCTTCTTCTTCTCCCGCCACTTTCCTCCCCTCCTCTCCCCTCCCCATCTCTTATTTCCCCGTTTCTCTCCTCCTGCCATCTTTTCCATTTGACAGTGCTCAGCCTGTTGTTCCATTGTGTCTACTGGGGCCTGTATGCGAGAGATGGAGTTGGCAACGGTAGCCTGAAAATACTTGGTGAGTTCTTCTCCTGCATTGGCGACTGACTGACTGACTGACTGACTGACTGACTCACACTGCCTCTGCGCTGGAAAATCACTCAGCCCGAGCAGAATGAACGAGTGGTCGATGATGGATGCGTGTGCAAGTGAAGAGCTGTAATAGCTGGTTTGACAAGATCATGCATGATTTTGTGTGACCATGTATGTGTGTGCGCGTGTGTGTGCACGTATATGTGTGTGTGTGTGTGTGTGTGTGTGTGTGTGTGTGTGTGTGTGTGTGTGTGATGACCTGATTTTATCTTTCCCCTCTGATATTACAGATTCGGAAACCACAACCTAATTACCCCCTCTGTCTTCTTTCTCACTTTCTGTCTCTCTCCATCTCTGTCTGTCTCCAGGGAAATTACTGTTCTCCGTCAGTTTCTTGGTGTTCCTTCTGATGCTCATATTGTTGGGCAAAGGTTTCACTGTCACCAGGTGGGGGGTTTTCAGTTTTTATGCAGCTTATATGTGTGTGTGTGTGTGTGTACATGTATTTTGTTTGAGCCCTATATGTATCTCTGTTTGTGAAAGCCCTCTCACCTTGTTGCGGGTTGTGTTTATGCTGCCACTGTCTCTCACTGTCAGGCCTCGCTGTCACAGTCATAACACTATCTCATCTCATGACAATGTTAGGTGTCAGTCAAAAAGTCAGTTAGTACGCTGGCTCAGATAGTGTGGATGAAAGCATGATGCATCTGGGGGATGTGATAGATGGATGCTGCTCTGGTGTGAACTTCATGTTGTGTTTTTATGTGTAGTTGAAGGGTGACCTTTGCCTCAAGAACCCAGCTGACAATTTTTTTTTTGATTCACTCACTTCTTTTCCTGTAAAGCTTTGTGAACATTTGCTTGGGACAGGCCTTTCAGATACTGCACGAGTGCTCTCCATAGCTGGAACATCAACGTGTATCCATCTTACACGTGACTGGATGAATGCCCCCACACTCACCTGGCTTGTCATTGCCTTTTCTAATTTTCCATTGCCAGTTTCAAATTTTAGTTGTCAGACTTGAAAAAACATACCAGCTGCTCTTGAAATGTTGTTTAAATTTTCTGCCAATATATATCCCCAGAAGTCGCTTTCGGAGTCAGTTTTATGTGAGGAAAGGGTCTCGCAGTGCACAATCAACAGCTTGTTAAATTGCAGTTCAGAGGGATTTTGAGCTTAAGTGGTGGTGAGTCATCACCTAAACTACAGCTCATAGTTTGAAGATTGGTCCTGCTTCAGGTTCAGTGGAATCAGTGTGGATATTTTCCAGACTGAACTCATGAAGTGAAAACTGATCTTGCAAGATTTAAGATGGCTTTTTTCGACTCTAGGATTACATCATCCTTGGGGTTCAGAAGACTCTGTGAGCTCTTGTACTTATTAAACCCTCTTAAAACCCCAGTGAATAAACTCAAAACCGCATTACCATCAAGCTTAAAACATGGCTGTTTATCTGCAGTGACTGATAAGTTGACAGTTTTGAGATAACTATCCAACAACTTTGATATGTGTCTCTGGTGTGTGTGGTGATGAATTACTCTGAGCAAAAGGATGTTTGAAATGCTGATGAAGGCTTAGCGCTGAAATGCTTCTGTTTGTTGACTGCAAATAAAGAAGCATTAATTTCTGCTTTCGTGAGGGCGGACAGTCTTTTTCACAGTCTGCCGCGTCCGTGAGTCCGCAGCCATTTTATATTTATACAGCTCAGAATTGAGCACACCAGTCCTTTGTGCTGTTGCATAGCTGCTTTTAGATTAAACTGACTTTGCTTGAGTGTGAAGAGCCAAATGTTTTTCTGTGTGTGTGTGTGTGCGCGCACGCACGTACGTGTGCATGCGTGCGTGTGTGTGTGTGCGTGCGTGCGTGTGTGTGTTCGTGCGTGTGTGTGTGCGTGCGTTTCAATGCGCACCTGCATCCTTCCCACCCATATGTGTATCTCTATCAAGTGTGTGTGTGTTTGTTTCATCTTATCTTCTATATCTTCTGACTTGTGTGCGACCTCTGACCCTCTTGGTTTATCCATGTGTCAGGGCGAGGATCAGTCACAGTGGCTCGGTGAAGCTGAGCATCTATATGACAGTCTACACAATCACCTACGTCATCCTCTTCATCTACGAAGCTGAGGTACACACATACGCGCACAATACATTCTCCGCACTGCAATATAGTCAACACTGGGGCAGCAAGTAGTAATTATCTCTATTATTGATTAATCTATTGATTTTTTTTTTTTTTTTCATGGAAAAAAATTGAAAATTGTAAATCAATTACATCTGAGCCTAATGTGATGCCTTTTTAAATCTTACAACAGTCCAAAATCCAAAGATATTCAATTTAGGAATATATAAAACAGAAAAACGTATTTGAGAAGCAGTAACAAGACAGTGTTTGGTATTTTTATTAAATTATTTTAACAATTGATCCTACAAGAGAATAAATTATTTAAAATATTCATCAATTATCAAATTCATGTAAAATGTGTTGATTAATTTTCAATCATCATTGATTTACTTGACTATTTCAGCTCTAATCAACACCCATATCCCATCCTTCACTTTCCTCACTAACAACCACAAGAGTTGTTATGTAGGATTTTCTGTAAGTATGAGGTGCCAACTTGGAAATGAAATGTGCCCTAAATGTGTGAACTAGAATTTTGGGTTATTACAGATGGCAGGGACTTGATGAATGGAAAATCTAAATGAATTGTTCTTTTCACTAGAGCTGAAAATTAATAGTCAACACTTTTGATTATCAATTTTTCTTTAATGCCAAACATTCACTGACGGCAGCTTCTCAAATGTGACGTTTTACTGCTTTTCTGTGTATATTGTGAAAAATGAAAAATATTTCTTTTTTGAAACACTGAACTAACAGAACAATCTGAAGACATCATCTTGGACTCTGGGAAACTGTGATTGGCATTTTTCTTTATTGTCTGACACTTTATAGACAAAGATGAATTGGTCAATTGGGGAAAATAATTGCCAGAATTATAAGCAGTGAAAATAATCTAGGGCCAGCCCTAATTTTCACACTAATAAAATCGTCTGTACACTAGTCACCAACAGCGAAGTCAGCTGCAGCTCAGTTGCTTTGCAGTTTAAATTCATATCTCAGCTAGTAAAACATGTCAACACTTCCAAGTTCCGCCTCTTCAGATGTGATTTGAAAGCAGCATCTGAATTATGCCCGAGATGACTGGGTTCAAGCTTCCTGATTGACAATGCTGGACACAGTGTCTGCACTCATATTGTATTATTGCTCTCCTCTGCTTTTTTAATAACCTCATAAATATTCATGGGAGAGTTGGGTGCACAGATCAACGTGGGCTGTAATAGCTTTTTCTGTCAAGTCACCCATTACACTGATACATTGCTAATTATGAATATGCATAAAGTCCATTGTACAAAAAAATATATAGAAGCTCCTTGATGAGTTACAAATTACAGATCCTGACAGGAACAAACAGGCGACTCCCAACAACAAACACAACAAAAGAGAACTGCACTACTTACTCCTGCACCTGAGATAATGAATCTTAGATCAGTAATTGTTTCTTTAAGGTTTCTTTGGAGTGGAAAGTGAAACTGTTGTCTCCATGTTGTGTGTGCGTGAAGACGGAAACAGATTTCAGCAGCTATGATGTTGAGCATATGAGCTTATGAATTAATAACAGCCTCAGGAGTGGTACAGTTACATACATCTCTGCATACTGCAGAGGCTTCAGCACAGTCAGATGTAATGATGGTACATTTAGGGACAGTGGATTACAGTCTTTGAATACAGCATGGTAATGACCCAGTGGGAATAGTGCAGTGGAAGTATCTGTGCTATATTTAATGCTGGAGCCTATAGCCATCTCTCTCACTGCAATATGTGGATCTGAAGCAGTGTAATTTATCTGCCGCCTGCCCTCTTACATGGTCCCTGCTATTAAAGAGCTCAAAACTCAGGGGAGCTCCAGCTAAAAATATGCCAAACTAGGTTACAATTGGAAGTGAAATGAAGAGTGTTCGTGGTCCTGGGCCTGCAGTTGAGAATCCGACAGGCTCTGGTTGCCTGGTTGGATCCCAAGAAGCTCCATGCCAAGCAGTCAGACCTATGCATTATGTAGCAAGGGTAACCCTGTATGGCCAACGCTATCCAGTCACTGGACTGTAAAATGCAATCTAGCATCCGCAGATGCATGCACAAGTCACACACACACACACACACACACACACACTCACACACTCACACACACACACACACACACAATGACCTAGTTGTGGAGAAGAAGTGTCAATGTCAAAGACTCGCACAGAATGCTACAAGCTGAGCTTTGGCTCTGTCATCACAGTGCATCAGCCGAACCATGAGCAATCTATCTCAGTAATTAGGGCACAGACTACAATGTGAAGCCAAGCCAATAGACCTTTCTTTTCTACTTTGTGTAAAAGTTTAGCTTGTTTAGTGTGTGTGTGTGTGTGTGTGTGTGTGTGTGTGTGTGTGTGTGTGTGTGTGTATTCATTTTGGCATAACTTCTCATTTCCCTGTGGCAGTTCTTTGACCCAGGTGAAGTGTTGTATGCCTACGACAGCCCTGCAGGTTACGGACTGATGGGCCTGCAGCTGCTGGCCTACGTGTGGTTCTGCTACGCCGTGCTGGTCTCTCTGAAACACTACCCAGAGAAACAGCCTTTCTACGTCCCTTTCTTCACCACATACACACTATGGTGAGACCCCCCCCCCCACACACACACACACACACACCCCCACACCCCGACACCCCTACACCCCTCCCTCACTCTGCCCTCGCTGTGGATAATAGCACCTGAGCCTGAGATTGCAGGAGTACAAAGATACACATTTCCTCTGTTTGAGGTCTCTTCAATTTGAATAATTTATGCTGCTTTGTAAAAAAAAAAAAAAAAAAAAAAAAAAAATGTGCATGAGATAGCTGATGCTTTAGCGGCCCTGGAATGAAAAGTTGTTTATTTTACTCTAGCCGTCTAAAACATTGTGTGCCCAACCTCTGTGCTCTACTCACACTGTAGATAATTGTACTTGAGTGAATGATTTTTAGAGGAAAATATCTATTTTTACTCAGCTGATGAGATCTCTTCTATTAGAATAATTTATGCTGCCATTTATGGGTGCATAATAGTTTAAAGCTTTGTACTGGAAAGTAGTGTTTTTCCTTTACACAAGCCAGAAAAAAACCCTTCTTCATACACTGCTCAGCCTTTCTGCCTTTCACTCTCTGTGTATAATAGCATGAGCTTGAAATGAAGGGTAGATTACAAAGACTAATATTATCTCTGTATTACTCTCTCATTGCTACGACTATCTCCCGCCTCATTATCTACGCCTCTCCTCTCCTCCCATCTTTATCTCTCTCCGTGCTCTAAATCAGCTTCTACTTTTGTCTGCTCTCTGTCTTTCACCACCAAACTCTATTCTCGTCATTTCCTTTTTAATATGTTTTCTCCGCATTGTTATCTTAAATCTGCTCGCTTGTCTTCCTCAGGTTTTTTGCAGTGCCCGTTATGGCCCTGATTGCCAACTATGGGATTCCTCGTTGGGCCCGGGAGAAGATCGTCAACGGCATTCAGCTCGGCATCCACCTCTACGCTCACATCGTCTTCCTCGTTCGTACCCTTGCACTTCTACATAGTTCACATTATTCAGGAGTCATTATTGCCACTGTCAGTCATACATTATTCACTATCCTTGAGTCATAACTGCCTGATTGTCTCCTCCACACATCATTATCTAGCCCTTCCTCACCTTCGACACATTGTTCTTTACTAATGGGCTGTACTGCTCACGCAAATTTCCTTTTATATTCCTGCTCAATGCATGCATTGTAATTCCCGCTTCTTACTTGGACCTCATATGCTCTGGCAATGTGTTAGATTCTATTTATACTGTATAGACATAGATTGTATATAAGAAGTCATCGTGTCTTTTTATCCTTTTTCCCTTAGGTTATCACACGCCCTTCAGCAGCCAATAAGAACTTCCCATATCATGTTCGGACATCCCAGATTGGGATCCTGCTCTCGAGTCCAAAAGGGGGCGAGGGGGCTGAGAGCTTCCCCCATCACGCTTACGGAAACAGCTCCTTCCTGGGAGACTCTCAACCTAACTTCACTGAACTTTTCTCCATCCAATCAGTGAGTCGAACCTGAATGTGGACACATGTTTGGATGCATGGTAGATATCCTAGGTTGAAGCTGTTGAGGTGAGAATGAGAATTATAGCTCATGTACTGTGTTCATCTATGTTCAGTTTATGCTTCCCCCTAATCAGTTTGCAGTGCTTGCTCTATGTAATTAGATTCCGGTTGTACACATTTTTTGTTGCTTTTAAAATTTAAACTTCCCTGTGTCAAACCTAGCTTGAAATTACCTGCTGTCTCATCTAACAAAGCCGCAAATTAGAAGGTATCAGTGTAACAACGCAGTTTGTAAGGAGGCATGTTTATAGGGAATATTTCTTGGCGGAAACTTCCATCTCTTCCTGTGGGTGTCAGATGAATGACAGTAGGCACAACGAAATAACCATTAAATAGAAACTTTGACAAGACCAAATTAAGACGTCGTGTTTGCCGTGATGAATTGTCTAGCTTGGGGAACTTTCAAATCTGTGCAAGTTGCTTTTTTTTTGAACAGAAATGAATGAAAGAAGATCCTCTCTGGATATTCAACTACACTGATACAACGTGCAGAAACTAGCAGGGGTAATGCAACAAGAAGGGTCGTAAAGACCGGTTTACATGCCCATCACCTTTCAAAAACAACATTTAAACTTAAAGACAATAAAAATGTATGAAGTTACATAGCAGTAATAAATAGACCAAGATGTAATAAAATAAAAGTGCTGTGGAGAAAACAAGTTTTTAATTTACATTTGAAAGTGGCTGGTGGAAGCTGGTTCTGCTGTTCCTAATCCATTATGTCTAGTACTCAGAAATTGATTCTCAGACTAAGTGAAAGCCAATGTAAATAGAAGTTATGTGCTTGGTTCTCTTGGTTCTTGTTAGAAATCTGGCAGCAGAATTGATGCATTCACTGCAGACGTCTAATTGGAAGACACTAGCAAGACCAGGCATTAGTGCGGCTGCTTAAAAAAAACAAAAAAAAAAAACATAATTTTAAACTTGGCCTTTTGTCTTTTATAGCCCTGAACTCAAGGTGGGAAATAAGAGTCTCTCCTCCTTGGCGTTGAACAGAATGTTCCCTGTCTTGTCTTTATTTAAGTGAAGGAAATGTAGTAGCAGTCGAGTACTGGCACTGACGCAGTGAGTCTATTGGACCAGGGTTATTTTGGGGAAAGAACAAAGAAATTGGCCTGAAGGGTAAATTCTGAGGTTATCGCAGCAGTGTCTGTGCTATAATGTGGTCTCAAGCCAAATTGACAAATGCAAAGTAAAACATTTATCATTTGTTTTCCAAGATGGGTAAGGTTCTGTAAGTATAAAATACTGAGTTTAGTATCAAAACATCTAGGTTAAAGGGGTCCAGTAACTGCAGGTTATAGTGAAACTCACGGTTTGCAGCACATCAAAGGCAAAGAAATTAAAAAAACAAAAAACAACAACAAATGTGCCTCATAACAAGCCCTGACAACTGAGATATAGATTTTAAAGAACAATCCCGATCGTTAGGAGGAATGTGTTTCTAATTTCCACACAGAAAACAGGGGCTAGGGGTAATTCCATTATTATTTATCAAATTTCAACACAATTATACTGCAATTAAATGATCATATCATGTTGGCCATTTAGCAATTACTGTTGACCAAATGAATGATGCAAAGCAAGATGTAGTTAAAAGTGAACTAAACTAGTTACTAAATGATTGGTTTTATACACATGAAAGGTTTGATCTCATTTACTGCAACAGTAGAACACATTGCATTATTTAGAAATAAAGCTTTTTGAATATTTTATGTGATTTCTGTAGTAGAGTAATAGTGCAATAATAATTTTATTCATATAGCACATCTATATATATGCATCCTGTACATACATAAAAACAGAGCAACACAATGAAAGACATGAGGAAAAGAGACAAAGTGTCAATTAGCAAGGCTAAGAATAAAAGGGAGATTGACAAATCTGTATGTACAAAACAATAAAATCAATCAAACAAACAGACAAAAGAAAGAAGGATAAAAGCATCAAAGTTGAGAATTAAAAGCAGCTTGATACAAGTTGTTTTGAGCAGTGATTTAAACTGGGGCAGAGGTTCAGCACGCCTGATCTCCTCGAGTATTCCAGAGTCTGGGGGTTCTAACAGTCGATGGCTGGTCAATTAGTCGATCAAGGAAATGAATTTGCAAGTATTTTGATTGCTGTTTAATTATTTAAGTCATTCTCAAAACAATATATAATACATTTGATGTTTCCAGCCTTAAAATGTACCACTTGCTTCTTTTCATTGTAATACATTATACTAGATTAAATGTCCGACTGTTGCAGAAAACAGTACATGTGATGATGTGACCTTGAGCTTTAGGGAAAATTTGATGAGCAGTTTTCTCTGTTTTCTGATGTTTTGTAGACCAAACAGTTAGTAGATTCATTAAGAAAATAATTGCCATATTAATGAATAATGAATATATTGAAAACAGGACTAGATTTTGTATACATTTGCATATTGTTGAATGATGTAAAAGATGTCCTTCATAATATCTTTAATTATTTCAACCATCTCCTCCAGGCCGACATGAATGATTGAACAGTAGTTTGTGGAGAGTTAAGTAAGTAAATGAACCAGTTGAAGCCTGGAGGTCAGGAAACCCAGTACATGTGTAATTTACCCCGACCTATATTACCATGGCAGCATGACTGAGTAGAGGAAGCTGTCAAAATGTGACCTATAGGATGGTGTTACTGACACAGTGTCTACAAGGCCCCACTTTCTGGCCAGTGCAACACATTGCTGTAATCCACATCCTGAGGATGAGACCAGGTCAAAAGTGCAAAACTATCATCTTCTTCCTTCCAGGATCCAGTGAAGACAGTGGAGGAGATGGTGGCCTGTAAAGGACCGGAGGTGCCAAGGAACAGTGAGCAGAAGATCATCACCACTGCTGCTGACTTGACATCGATATTGCCCCCACCTCCGATACCCCCCCGCCCAGCCACACGCTCACCCCCGCTGCCGCCCCGGCTCCCCTCATTCACCGAATATTTCAGCATGCAGAGCGGAGGAGGAGGAGGAGGGTTCGGAACGAAGGCATGAGATGGAGAGAAAGATGGGACAGAGGTCAGGACAGAGGGAGATGGGGGAAGGCACGGAGGGAATGGACAGAATGACAATACAATTAATAAGTAAAGGAAGAGTGGAAGTCAAGGTGTCACTGTTTAAAGACAAAAGGGACAGCCAAAAAAAAGTTTGGAAGGACGAAGAAGAGAAATGATCAGAAAAGTGAATCCCTAAACGGTCCCTTTTCACCTGTGAATGGAAATAACCCGAATGGGGGAAATGGCTGAGAGATAGAAGTGCTGAGCTTGTTAAAGAATAAAGAAGCAATAAATATTTGATGCTGACCAGTAAAAGGCACACAGGGAGAAAGATGACAAAGTGGATGTAGCCAGAGCAATAGAATGATAGCTGTGCACGATGCGGAAATGAACAAAATTCTTGAAATACTTTTATTCAAAAATTCATGAGGCAGTGATGGTGTGCTTGGAAGAGTTTGTAAATAGCTAAAACTGGAGAGAGCTACCACTATATATATAGTTTTATTTCAAAAAAAGGAAATTTGTTTTTATGGTTTGTTTCCACATCATTAAATTCCAGTTGGTGCTGTGACCAATGAAAAATCCCATTTCATTCCGTTTATCAAATTCATGTTAGAAAAAAAAGAGACTTTTTTTATGTTTGGCACATTTTGATAAAGCATAGATATTTACTCTATATGGAGTTTGTTGGGTTAATTTATATTCTACTATGCCTTCATTGCAGCTGGTTATTCTGGATTGATATGCTGATGTGTAAATGTAAAAATGTCACGTTTACTGTGGGCACTTCTAGGTACTCGTAAAACACGCATGTTTGTATTGTATTTCCTGTCCAAAAAGCTGATATATGTACTCCATGTGATCATACAATATTCGCTTATTGTGTGTATTGAAATCTATACTTTTGTAAATACATACAATAGGCTTTAGTATATTTTTGACAGGATAAATTCTGTTAATTGTTATTCCAAACAAAGCCCTCTTGTGCTCTCTGAAACACTACGTGAAAACCAGTATTTTACTATATTGGTTTTAAGCGAGTGCAGAATATGCCTGCTCAAAAATGTCATTTCTGTGTATGTAGACGTTGGTGAATGTACTGATGCAATACAGCACAAGGACAGGGGTGATTTTCAAGTTACTGGAATACTATAGTACACCTTTGTAAAACTGTCTTCGGCCTCCATCTTTAACACATCCATGATTAAAGGGCAGATGGCTTCTTCTTTTTAAATAAAAGTAACTTCATCCTCACCCCTGTCTAGTACCTGAAACATAAATATTGTATTTGTCTGCTTTTCACACCTGAATATTTAAACCATTCGAAAAGCTGAACAAATATTACTACTTTTGTATCCCCTAACATTGAACTATGACTGAAAAAAAGCCTTGTAGATGAACTGTGAAAACATCAACACAACTGAACATTTCGTCTGTCCTGCATGGAGCACTTTAATGTTCCTGGTCTTAGTCTGTTTATTCGTGATGATGTCACCTTATAAGACTGCTTTGAAACCTGTATTCACACCACATCGAGTAGTATTCCAGATGCATACACCTGTAAATACGGTCTGAAAATGTCATCGACTGTCCGGACATTTTAGCAAAAACGTATCATGCTTAGTCAACATAATTTAACATTGAATTACAGAAGTTGATAATTCATGTAAGAATGCCATTGAAACTGAGTTCACCACCAGCTTCCAGCAATTCAGAAACTGAAAAAAAAAAAATCAGTGAATGGAGACTAAGAAATTCAGCCATTTTATATTGACCATTCGTTTATTTCAGACTCATAAAATTGGTGGTTCTCGGCTAATAGTCACGGATTTATCAGTGGCAATCTTGCTGTAATGGAGTACTTTAGGATGTTAGGACTGTGGTGTGTAACTTGTAAGAGTGTAGTCAGAGGTGTAACTTAGTCTGTGAAACAGAATGATACTTGAATTAGAGTATTAGTCGTTATTTCTGATTATGTGTCTGGTTTATATTTGGCATGTCTGCCATTTTGTCTGCTGTTGCCTGTTGCTACGGTTGCCATGACTTGACTGAACAGACACTGGATGACTCGACTAACAGACAGGCTTACTGATACTGCATCACTGCTTCAACCTTGCGTATATTGACATTAAATTACAGGACTGAGACACACACTTAGGGGAGAGAACTCGAAGAAAAGAGATTATGTATGCATGACAGAAAACAGCACAGCTTTTAGGCTACTCAGAGCGATCTGGTTAAGAGCACATCACTGAAGCACTGTTCAGATGCATTTTAATGGTGTCAAATGACAATTCTAAATACGCTGTACATATACACTTTTTGCCAAAATAAAAAAAATATGGTTTTATTAGAGGCCTTGGTGGGTGTGTGTATTATTTGGCTCCTGCGTTAATAAGCGAGAGTGTTTGAGTTCCAGTTACGGCAAGGGCATGTATCCAAAGGGGTAAATCTAATATCTGTAAATCATATTTTGAATCTGTTCTCATTACAAGAGTCCATTAAAGTAAAACACCACAGGGACAGACTCCAGGCTGGTCACAATCTGATGTAGGCTAGCCTAATTATTTCAGTCATGGCCAGTACCCCAGTCTGTGGCTGCTGAAGTGCAGAGTCACAACAAACTGTTCCTGTCTGTACCTGTTCTCCAGTAAAGGTCTAAATTTACAAATGGCTTTCAGCCTAATCGCTACCACAGTCTTTGAAAGGAAAATTTAAGCTTCTTACATTGTTTGGTAACAATTTGTCATGTTCACTTCAGGAGTTATTTTGTGATGAGGTCATTAAATATTCTATCCACCAAGTTCTTTTACATCTAATTTAATCAAATCCAACACAACAGTCCAGTTTTGAGGCTTGGCTTGTGATTAATACATTATATTGTTAGGTATTCTAGTATTTGTCCACCAGGATGTCAAAATAACAAAGATATTGTACAATATAGTACAGCATAATAGACCTTTTTCACTGCAGACACAGACTTGTCATAAAAGGTTTCTGCAGTGTTCAAGACTTTTTAAGAAAACACTACATTCCCAGCTGTATAAAACAATAATTCCTTGTACTATGATTAATTAATTAACATGACCTGAACCTAGATAAATAGCATAAAATTCATGAATGGATTAATCAATTAGGAAATAATTAATTAAAGATTTTGCTGCAATTGTCACTTGCCTATTAAGAGTCAATGGGCTTCCTAGCTACTCTGTTTAGCAGTAGTGACAGTAAACAGCCTCCTGCAGCACCATTCACTGTCACAACAATCCCACTCTCAGTTAGGAGGTGTATAATGTCTACTGACAGCCCGCTACCAGATACACAAAAAGTTAATGTTACTGTCTATGGCAGGCAAGGAAAATATTTAAGACCTTTGTAAATTAAATTTAAGACTTTAATACCTTTTATGGGATTTTTTGAAGGGACGCAATTCAATTTCAAGACCTGCAGATACAGATACTGTTCTGAGGGAACAGCACAGGTGTAGTTAATAAGGTTTGCATGTACGCCTGCAGTGGAGCCATCGTTAATGTTATAAGTTACACCTGTGATTTTTCTGCTGCAAGTCAAACTGTGTGCTGTGAGTTCTGTAACAAGGTGTTTGTGCTGTTTTTTTTATTTTCATTCTATGTACAAACTGAAGCATAAGCTGTGGTCTGGGAAAAATATTCCAAGAGTTAATTTGATACTTGTTCAAAATTAAATACAAACTTTCCAAAACTGGTGCAACTTATTTCACTTTTTTGTACTGGTTTGTGAGAAGAAACTTTTTGAAAATGGCAAGAGGAAGTTTGTAAATAGAAAAATGTAAATAATAAAATAAATGATTGTTAAATCACACTTAGCCACAGTTTCAGGGTGCTGGGATTGTGCGTGCTGGCTCACCATCACACTGACATGACTTACTGGGACACTCGTTAATGTTATTAATAACACCTCTGCTCTGCTTTTGCTAACTTTAATTCTTTCTGAACTGACCAAAACATTTATAGTTTCCAACAGATGTAAATATTGGTGCTGTTTATCTCCACTGTTAAGGCTCATTTATGTTCAATGTCATACGGATACAGATGGTACTTTCTGTCCGTACTCTGCATTAATTTCATCTTCATTTTCTGAAAACATACAGACACGGATGAAGCTCAGCAGTGCCACTGGAAATGGTGGGGCAGTGTAGCCAATAGTTCCGAAGTGAGACATGACTATTTATATTTATTTTATTTTTTTAATGGCGGAACTTTTAGAGGAGACATTATGCAATGTACTTAATGGTCCCACAGACAACTACCGTCTATAAAGCTGCCTCTACTTTTGCCTCTTTCTTAAGAACTACATTATTATGACCTCCTCCTCCGTCATCCTGTTTGTTGTTGTCTGAATTGTTTGACTCTCAGCTGCCCTGTAGTGGATGTATTGGTTAACATTGTGCTGTCTTAATTCCCACATTGGAAGTATGTGGGTAGTGATGACTACATCATTTGAAATGGACGTATCCTTTTTCACATGTGAAGGGAGCACAAATGAGCCCTTAGCCAAACCTCACATAGCCAACAGGACAAACCTGGATAGTTTAGTCTTCAAAGACAAAGTGAAAATCTCTTACTTCTGTTCATGAATCACATTTATTAATCATATCCAATCAGAAATCATCTCATACAGAAATGTTCCTGGCCGCAGTTGACACTGTAGGTTTTGAACTGTTCTTTTGATGAAGAAATGCATCAGTCTCTATAGGCCACAATCTGCAAGTGACTCTTCAGGGCATTTCAGCATCCAACCATCAGCCTTCAGCGACCATTTATCCAACACCATGGTATGAATTACGATTTTGCAGCTAACTGTTGTGCCCTTTCCTCTCTGTAGCCTTTGAGCAGCTGGTTGATGAGAGTCAGTTCATTCTCCTTTTTGACAGGATAGAGAGGCGGGAAGGGGTTGCCTTTGTACTCCAGGACGGCCATCTTTGCTCTGTCCAGGTTCTGTCTGTTGGGAATGCGTGCCATCCGTGTGTAGCCATTGGACTGGGTCTCAAACCGTGGAGCAAGGACCTTGAAGAGCTTTGGGACCAGATCCTTTTCCTGAAGAGAAGAAACAGACTCAAGCTAAATGGCAAGTGCACATCAACTGTTTAACATTCACAATGACACAGCTTGTAACTTCACTAAGTTGAGAAGCTGCAGACACGTACCGTTAGCCAAAAACTGGCCATTTTCATCGCCTTCTCATCAGTGTCTCCCTTTTTGGCATAGTCAACCAGCTAGAAAAAACAAAACAAAACAAAACAAAAAAAACACAGTCAGTGGAAAAAAGAGGAAGAAAAATCTAAATATATTGTAAGTTAAATGTTGAGGTGAACATTTTGGGACGGAGCAAAATCAATTCCTCCAATGGCCACTTGAGGCTGGCTCCAAAAGCGAGTCAATCATCATAGACTCCACCTTAAAATGCCCAAATTCAAAGCAGAAATAAACACGTTTACAGCCTGGTGCGGAAAAAAAAAAAAAAAAAAAGCAAATTTCCACCTTAAAGACAACTGTAAGAGTGGTGGATTTTTATATAACGAAGCCGTTTATATTTTATTCTTGATTTAAAGTTATGCACAATTAAGGGGGAGGCCCCTTAGAGTCACAGGTGGGTGTCATCACAGTCCGCTAGGTGTCTGTTCGGAGTCACCTCAGCTAAGCCGTGTTTGTGGTGTAGCCTTATGGAGGACTTTTCATGGAAATATTAGACAATAATATGGCTTGCTGTGCTGCTAATTGACGAGAAATGAAACGTGAGGAAGTCTGTGCTCCGGTTTTTAGAGGTAAGTGAAGTGTTAGTTTTATTTTAATTAGCAGGTTTTGGCGTCTGTGCTACCTATACCTGGCTTGTTAGCTTAGCTTGTTAACTAGCTAATTAGCCAGCAAACGAATTAGCTTTGGTTTAGCCTACGAGCAGGATACCCAGACACCCAGCTGTGCTAACGGGAATATATGCTTTCCACAGTTATTAAACCGGCATTCACGACCACTCTTCAGAAACGTATGGATGACGTTCCGGAGTCTACGTTCATCTTGGCAGAGAGTTAGGTATGTGAACATCCTGTTCAATATTTAGTTTCATTAAAGGAAAAGTGGGGAGGATGCCTGCATTGGGCTAAAACTCTCGAATTTTACTTGACTTAAAACAGGCAACAATATTTTGTGTACCTGAAAAGATTGTATTGTAAATTGTTTTTGATTTTTATACAAATTTCACTGACTTGACCTTGAAGTTGGCAGAATTACATCAGTTGCCTTTTATCAGTACAGTTAAAGTCTGGAATTGTAGAAAGGGCAATGCTGTCTCCTCAGATAATCTACTTTATCTTATTTTAGGAATTTAATTATTCAGTTAATTTGTATGTCTTTTATGTTTATTTTCTAATTACATAAACACATAAAAATAACTATAACTTTAACGTTAAATCATGCTACGGTTTTATTGAAATTATTGTAGTGAAATACTGAATTACTCAGCCATTAACTCACATACTTTTATTCTGAAATTCTGTTAGTTTTCTTGCTCCACTCTAAACCTCTATGGACAAAACCTTCTCCGGATGTCTGGTGGCTGATATTGATCCTTCACAACAACTATATTTAAGAACCAAATATGTATTTTATGTTAAATTTGTGCTATTTTCATTTATCTCATTAGAACTGGTTACATACTGTGACATTAGCTTACATGAAAGCTTGTTACCTTTTCGGCGTAGAAGCGGACTTCATCTGCTCTCGCCAGCGTGGTTTCTATCCTCTCATGTCGGACCAGTCCTGTCAAGATGTTCCGCAGCATGTTGATCCGGGACTGCGGACCCAGACCCATCTTCCGGGCCACCCGGCCGTGCGAGATCAACATTTGTAGCGTGAGGCGCATCTTGTCCGGTTAGATTCGCCTGCGAGAGTCCGCGACAAACACACGGAAAACCAAACTAGATATACAGGTGAATAGGTTTGAAGCGAAGCGTATAACTTATTAAAACAGACCTCTGTGTAGATAATAGAGCAGTTACCTCTGTGTAAGAACAAGTCCTCAGGTCGCTTATGTCAATGTGAAGAGCGCTGAGTTTGACATTGGTGGTGCGTCGGAAAATTTGTCCGACTTGTCGATGGAACACGAGAGCAAAGGTTCCGCTTAACTCACTGCAGCCAGAAGCGGTGAAAACGAAGAACCAAAGCAAAATATCATACTTTTTATTGCTATTATAAAAAGAAAAAAGTGATACAAGGTTACTTTTGTCTGTATATCTTTGAGACGTTGTTTGGTTATAATCAAATACAAAGGTGTGGTAGTACAGTTTACAGTATAGCTGATAATTGTGAAATCAGGCTCAGTAATTTATTTATTTATTTGATTATTTTTAATTGGATTTTTCAGCGGATCATGTTAGCTTACTACCTCTTATTACTTAGTTCTAATTTGTTCATAGGTCTGTCCTGTTCTCTTATTTGCATATTATAATGACATGGTCTCAGTATGTTACAACATGATCATTCTGTATGAAGATTTACTAGGCAGATCAGAGAAGCAGAGACACAAAGATGGAGTGATACAAAATAAACTAACAAACTAAAAATGTGGGTGTTACACTTATTTTATTTCAATCTCCATTTCTACAAGCAGTTTCATTGACAGAATTTTGCAGTAGAGGTAGGTTGGACCAGACTTAGTAAGTAGCCATGGTGCTCTGCAGCCACTCTGTGAAAATGCAGGTCTGATGCAAGAGAGAAATGGAAAAGGCACATTGAAAACTCACATCAGGCTTTGACAATATTTATATGTCATAAAAGAGCAATAAATGATTGCTATGGGAAGTTTTTTTTTTTTACCTTGGCATAGACACCAGGGTGGTTCTTCTCTGCACACCCAAAGCCCCAGGACACAACACCCTGCAGCTCTCCGTTACACACAACAGGGCCGCCAGAGTCACCCTGAGAGAAGGAGGGGGAGCCAAGCAGTTGGACATATATGAAAGTATTAACTCTCAACTGAGTGCCGAGAGCACTACAGAAGATGCATATGCTTTGTACACTTTGTAAAAGCAGAGATACAAACCTGGCAGGAGTCCTTGCCACCCTCCAGGTATCCAGCACAGAACATGGCCTCAGTGATCATCCCAGGGTAGGAGTTGTCACAGTCCTCTTTAGACAGGATGGGGATGTTCAGGCACTGCAGCTTGTTACTGTCAGCAGCTATAGAGATGTGGAACCAGAGAAACATGGACAAATAAATGATGGACAAATGTAGAGTGAATAACAGAAGCCCTGTATTGAGACACTATTTGATACTCACCGGAGCTCATGGTCACACCCCATCCAGAGACTGTGCACATGGTGCCAGCAGGGGCACAACTAGTGGGCAGAGCCACAGGCTTCACATACTGGTTGATGGTGGCAGGCTCGCTCAGCTTGATCAGCATGATGTCATTATTAACCAGCCAGGACTCGTAGTTGGGGTGAGGAATCACACTGGAGGCACGAATGATCTGTTCATTGCCGTCCATGAACCAGCGGTTGTGATCACCAAGGACGATGTCCATTTTGCTGAAAGAGAAGCAAAAAATGTATAGGAGTGAGTAAAAGCAGAGAACAGAAGGGATTAATAATTGTGCGACAAGTTTTGTAGCTCTGCAGGTGATTTTTGAGGAGTACCCACGATTTGTAGCAGTGAGCAGCAGACACCACCCAGTACTCGTTGACCAGGGAGCCTCCACAGAAGTGGTAGCCAGAGTTCAGAGACACCTGATGGGGCTGGGAATGAGGTGTGCACTCACGCCCTCCAACAATTTTGTCATCCTCTGTGGCAACTGTAAAAAACAACTGATATTCGTCATCTTATCATGAAAGACATGTTACCTTGCAAATACGTTCATCATCAAATAAAATGTATCATCTTTGCCTCTTTGGTATAATTGCCATACATTCTACATTTCTTTGCCCATGTAATTGATATGCAATCTAATGTATCCCATAGTGTGTGTGTGTGTGTGTGTATATATATATATATATATAGTGTCCAGTCAAAGGCTGGTATGTGTCCATACTTACACACAGCTCCAAGGAGCAGAGCAAAGACCAGAGACCTCATGATTAGCTGATGGTAGATAGAGATTCAGAGCTTTTCCAAAACCCATGGTGGGTTTTTATTGACAGCTTTACCTTATTCAAACTGTTGAGACACACCCCTGGCACTGCTGACCAATCAAAACCCCCAAAGAGCACTGATGGAAACATTTTGCCATACTTACAAAAATTTTTGCCAAAGCAGGGTTTTCATAGTTTTCATGGGACTGATGTTGAAGGAGTTTGCTCAATTCTTGCTTGAAAGTGTCTGCATTTTTATAGTTTGATCCATTGCTGCTCTGGCCTGGTTTGAGTAGAGTACAGTATGTTTGGTACAGGTTGTAATCAGCATCCTGACCTTGACTCTGGCCCATTTTCAGTGCCAGGTGGAGCCTCTCTCACAGACTGTCTGACTTTCACATGAAAAGTGTAGGGAAAGCTGTCTTATACAGAGAAACTATATACACCTACCTTTTTCTTTCTTTCTTTCTTTCAAGTTAAGTTCAGCTCAGCAGACCAACCTTGTGAAATTGCTAGAATGAAGAATGAGTTAGGAATAGAGAAAATGATTAATACATTAGCTAATAAAACAATTTAAGCCCATACATTCGGATAAGATAGTATTATTTGTTACATTCAGTTGGATGTTCTTACTTTGACTCATGTTTATGACATACAGTCACATATTGTGCCACTAAATATTCTACCGAATTAAGTTTCCACAATCAATTTGGTAGAAATATGATTATATTTGTCACATTTTAAAAGAAAGTACATTTCAGTCGCATTCTAGTCTGTTGGGATTCTCTCCTTTGTAGCTTTCCATGACTGTGCGTCATCTTGTCTCTGTTCCAGACTGTAGTTAACTCAGTCTGTATTTTTATCAGCTCTGCCTTCTGCTCTGCTTCAGATGCTTATCAGTGAAAATATTTCTGCCACCCTTTATTCTCTCACCATTATTAATATGACAGTGCTTTTATTATATATCATATATTGTATATATTCTTGTTGATCTGTGTATCTATTTAATTCCCCTGCTGGGGTGCTCTTTGCTCTATAAATGAATTGGCTTGACTTGATCTGAGTCTCACTTGGTAATGGGCTGTTTGTAAAGTTGATTATATTTGTCAAAGGTTTGGGTAAATCTGATTAAAATTATTAGAAGCCATGCAAGTGGCTTTTAAACCAATTTTAACACTAACTGAAATATTATAAGTATTAAGTCCCATACTGTATCTCGAAAAGGATGAATTTTAAGCCATTTATGTAACAAATGACCAATGGTCTTTTATAGATTGCCTGTTTATTTGTGCAAGGCTTTACTGCACTGGATGAATATTGTGTTTATTCTAAACTATCGCATGCAACGCATTGTATAGCATACTTTTTTGTCATGACAAAGTTTGTCACTTCAACACTTTCAAAATACAGTATTTGTAGTAGATACAAGATATGCCTTATTTCCAATGTGTTCTACAGGGCAGTAAAGAGTTAAAGACCTTGGTGAAAAATGAAAGCACATTTCTAAATATTGTGTATCATGATGTGGGAAGACGCAGGCAATAAAGTGAAGAGAAATATAATTTGAGAGTCAAGATGTAAGACTTTATTGATTCTGAAGGAAAATGGCTGCACATTATTCAAAACTCTACAACAATACTGGAGTTAGAACGATGGAAGAAAGGCAGCAGAGATGGTGGTAACAGGATCAGACTTAATAGCTAGCCATGGTCCTCTCCAGCCAGTCGTTGAAGATGCAGACCTTTGAAAAGAGACAAAACAAGGTTTGTTACCATGGACAGATGGCAACAAGCATGATTCATATGGCTATATTGTTGGTCTAAATAATATAGTTTTACCTTGGCGTAAACACCAGGGTGGTTCTTCTCAGCACATCCATAGCCCCAGGACACAACACCCTGCAGCTCACCGTTGCACACAACGGGGCCACCAGAGTCACCCTGAGAGAGAGAGAGAGAGAGAGAGAGAGAGAG